AATTGAAATGTATTTATGATTTCAATGTCTTTTACACAAAAAAGCAAAAACAACACAAATATTTAATTTAAAAACTTTCCTTATATTGAAGTTATAAAGATTTGAAGATTTCTTTTTAAAAACTTAACTCCCTTTTGGTTTTTACAAGAAATGGTACTTTTAAGAGATTGTTGGATAACAGGGTGTATAGTATATAAGTTCACGGGCTGTTAACCATGTGTTTAAACTAGTTTTGAAACCAAGTAAATAACACATTAGTTGGTTTTTACCAATAAATTTACCAACAAATTTTTATTATTGTTGTTTTCATCAAAACAATAGTTGTTTATTATTAATAAAGTTATTAATACTGACCATTATTTATACTAATATCATTATTAGCAATACTTTTAATAACTAATGCGGAAAATATTATTATAAATTTATTTATTAATTTATAAAAAATTGTTTAAAAGTAATACTAATTTTAAATAAATAGTAAAATTTAAGAAATTTATGTTGATAATGATATTAATAATTTATTAATATTTATAACGTGTAATTTTTAATTATTTAATTAACCTTAATTAATATTACATCAAATATATGAATACTGAAATTATGGTGATTTGATGGTGACTATGCGACAACAAAATACTCTTCGTCTTTAAATTGAGTCCAAAAAGTGTTTTAAGCGAAAGTGAATGAAAGCCTTCACTCCCAACACAGAGTAGCACTCAATTGAATTCAATACGGGTTTAATAGCAACGCGTTATTGAACTAAAAACGACTTTTTCTCTTTGCAAAAAACCTATCCTTGACTTCAAGTTCTCTCTCGGCTTTGCATACAATGTAAGCATTGATTAATAACTTTAAAATTATAATAAGAATTAATTTCATTGAGTGTCTGTTAAAATGTGCTTAGATTTTGAGTTAAAATGTGTTTCTCTAATACTTGTAATGAAATTGTTGTGAGATCTTACGAGTCATCGTTTAAATAAGTTATAAATCTTTAGATGTGTTCAATCCAAATATTTGTTTTATCAAACTTTTAAACAGTGATTTTTCTACAAACAGTGTTTTAATTGATTATATAAAGTTTCGTATATTTTACTTTATTTATAACTAATTCAAACTATTTCAATGTCTTTCCATGTAATTTATTGTTTATTTTATACAATTATTTGGTTTTGTTTTATTGAACAATTATTTACACAATTAACGTGAAAATTGTTATTTATAATAAGAACTTTTAAAAATATTTGGATAACGTTTTCCATAATAATTAGGGTTGGTAAAAATCCAAAGCTTGTATATGTTAATTTTGCGGAGTATAATAGTCAAAGTTTGTGTGTCTGTATACAAATTTTTATAAAATCTATAAATAAAAAACAAGTATTTTGAATGTAAAACAATCATTTAAACCACATTATTAATAGCTGAATTGTGGTTAAAAACACTGTAAAGAGAGTCACTATAAGGTAAGTTCACTGTATACATTGTATATTACAAAGCCCCAAAGATATTCTTGTATTTTACCAACCTTAATAATATTCCCGTACAATAAAACGACATATCCTAAATTAAAAAGTTTTATAACAGCTATTGAATGAAATAAATTTGATTTAATAAATAAATGCATTTATATATAAATAGATACAAATCTATATAAAATGAGGAACTAATCAAATAGTATTTTACTATCAAATTGTAGATTGAAAAAGAGATTCAAATAATAATAAATGATTATTTGAATGAATCCTTGAATTATATAATTTATTATAATTTTATTCATTAATATTTTTGCAATTATTTTAAGAAAATTAAAACCTGTATTCATATAACATGAATCATATTTACTAAACAGTATACTGTTGTTAACTAAATGCCAATTAATAAGCATGAATTATTTTGAAAACACATTTCTATTTGAATTTCCAGCCATATGTTTATCATTAAATTTATATTTTCAATTTGTTTCATGGAATATCTTTTACATATAATACGCTATAATATTTTATTACATAAAATTAAAATCAATCAGTATTTACAGTATATACCAAAAGGTAATAATTCAAATATAAATATATAAATACATAAATACATTTAAATATTAAACTGCATTAGGCTAAATTGTAAAAATGCCACAAGAAACTGGCGAGATCAAAATACCGGTTCCGTACGGCTGTATTGCTGCCAAAACATGGGGTAAAAGTGACAGCAATTGCCATAAAATACTAGCACTTCATGGATGGCAGGATAATTGCGGCAGTTTTGATAGACTAATACCCCTTTTGCCGGACAGTGTGTATGTGTTGGCACCCGATCTTCCCGGACATGGCTTGTCATCGCATTTACCAGACGGCTGTCCGTACAGTGATATCGCGTTTGTAATGGAAATCAAGCGAATTGTCAATCATTTGAATTGGTCTTCATTTTCAATATTAGGCCATTCAATGGGAGCGATGCTCGCGATTCTCTATTCCTCAATATATCCACAATCAGTGGTTAAAGTGATATCAATAGATATAGTAAAGCCGTTCACCTTTTCAAGGGATCAAATGGCAGATACGATGAGAGGTTTCGTCAATTCATTTATAAGATTAGACAAAAAGGATAGCATTCCTCCGGTTTATGGCCACCAAATGGTCGTCGAAAAGATGATTAGCGCTCATTCAAGACACGGAAAACTAGACGAAGAGTCGGTTCAATGTCTTCTCAATAGAGGATCTCAAGTATCGTCTGACGGAAAGGGAGAGTATTTTACACGTGATAACAGAATTAAGACTATATTTGTTCAGGTCATGGATTGTGACAATTTTCTTCAATATTGTAATCGTATTAAATGTGAACTCATTATCATTAGAGCTAAAAATGGTGCGGAACTCGACTCTCAACACAATAACGATGTGTTTATTGAATTCTACAAAAGAAATTGTAAAAAATTTAAATTGTTTGAAGCGAATGGTGAGCATCACATCCATCTCATTGACCCACAAACTGTTGCCAACATTATTAACAATGAATTTTTAAATTGCACTTAATTAGAAAATTTAATTGTATTAGTATATAAATTATTTAAATAAAATTATAATTTACTTTAATACTTGAAAATACATGCATTATAAAATTAAATTAATAACATTTATATCCAAAAGAATATTCAATTTATGTTTAGTGTTACTAGTTATATGTTAAAACATATAATCAGAACTTAATAAATACATTGTTAATTCTAAAAATGATAAAAAAGTTCAACTATTTATATTAAATCTATTTTTGCAGAATATTGAATCTATACTTTAAAATGTATTCTAACTAAAAAAAATATTATAATTTAAAAGTCCCTTCAAAATTATTTAATGCCGAAACGGGAAATTATTTTTGCCTTTTATAAATTCTATCCAAAAATTCTGTGAATATTTTAGGACTTAATTGGGATTTTGTTTTCAAATTATTGATTAGAACATTGATTTCTTTGTATTGTTTCTCTTCTTCCTTATGAAAGGCATCCTTTAGGTTGAGTTTGTTGTAAACCTCTTTTACTCTTCGGACACAATCGCCATCTTTTATACCATAATTAGTTTCGATGAATTCTTGCTGTTGTTTATCACACATTTGAAACGCGGTTACGATAAGCCACGAACACTTGCCCTCCTCTATATCGGTGCCTATTTTGCCAATAATAGCCGGATCTCCAAAACAGTCCAAATAGTCGTCCTGTATTTGAAATAGATGTCCGATCTTTAAGAGTATCTCTTCGGCTATTTTGTGGTCTTTCTCGGAATCAAACGAAGACATATACAGCGCTATATAACAGTAATTTTGATACAAAGATTAGTGTTAAATTAAAGGTAAACTCCTTGATAAACATATTGTAAAACATATTTAAAATATTCAGATCAAAGCAGTTATATATCAGATTAGTTGCTCATTATTATTGTTTACTTTCATCCTTTGCGTGAAAATTAATGGTTTATATAAAATCTCTCAATAAATGAATTAAATGTAGTATTGATTATCATAAAATTCATACCGAGTCTAACGGGCAAAACAAACGAATAGAAAGCGGTTTTATATTTAGCAATGCTTTCGTGTTGTAATTCAGTGAAGAGATGAAACTGCGGCCGTTTATTGGGAGGATTGGAGGCCGTGTCCATACACTGTCCGTATGACGTAAACCGTGCGATCTATTCATATTGATTAATATTTAAAACTTTATTATAAATCACATAAACATATAAATATTCGTCGCTCATTTGTGGTGACAAACACTTACCTCATGCATGAGATCCACTAATTTTTGATAATAGGGTTTGTCTGAGAAGAATAGCTTAAGGATGTGATAGTTTTCCTGATCCAACAAAATAGCGTCATTGCATGACATAAGACCAACATGCTCCTATTATTTAAATTTACATTAATTATGAATCATTTAATAGTCCATAAGTTTTAAATAATATTTGAAACTTATTAAACTTAAGAATCTTATGATTTAGCTTAAGGTTTTTAAAAAAAACTATTATTGTATTGTATTTTATAATTAAAAAAGTACAAACAAAAATGTAACCATACCATTTTATACCAACAGGGCTGACCGCGTCGTGTAATTGACTGATCCATCATATCATCGACAACGAGAAAGAATGCCTGAAGAAACTCGACGGTCCAGGCGAGCACTCGGGCCAACTCTAGCTCATGAGGTGTCGGTGTCTTTGCCTGTTGTTCAGCGAGAATACGATACGTCGAGACCACTGCCAGACCTCTGTTGCGCTTTCCGTGCGGAACGTTATATAATATGCATTCCTTCAACCACTCCATCGTTGAGATCAACTCTTTTGCGGGTTTGGCCGGTATTATTGACGACATTATTTTGGCAAACGTTTCGTCCAACTCTTTGAATTCGCTTTTGTAATCCATTTCTAATTATTGATATTTTTCGCTGACTTTATGCGCTATTCTTCTCGAGTAAATGTTGATTTACCCGTAAAATAAAAATAAAACAAACAGTTATTATCAAGAGTTTGCGAACAAATAATGAGTTATTACTTTAATATAATTTAAATTAAAATACACGTCGACTTAAATATTTAATATAATTTAATTAAAACAAATTTAATTAGTAGCCAACAACTAATTGATTTAATTTATAAAAACCTGTGTAAAAAAGAGGAAAAGATAGTATAAGACAGTAATACTGAAACTAATATCTCATAAAGTTATTGAACAAATGAAAGAAGTTATTGACTAAACACATACTGATGGGTAAAACAAGGAAAAGTAATATCTGTTTATGAATTGGTTGTTAAGAATATTGGAATTAATTGTTTTTTAATAGAAAAACAATTATGTTTGAATACTATTTCATTTTAAAATAGCAAATATAAACAAATTTTTTTAATCATTATGTATTATGTAGCTATTACAAATCCATTAAGCATATTATTTAAGCAAGTCATATTATTTCGCATTTTTGTAATTATTAAATAAAATTTCTGATAAACATTAATTATGATTTCACGAATAATCGATTAAAAATAATAATTTTTGTAATGCACCCAAACAATAATTAAATTGAACAATGATGAATTTGTATTTTGTTTAAATAATGCAAGTTTAGGTAAACTACATAGATATTTATTTCTCAAGTTTTGTTTGAGTGTCAGAGCGTTTTGCAAAATTAATTAAACATATGTTTAGTTAAACAATAATAAAAATTATAAATCAATTTATTACAATAATTATTATTAGCAATCATTGAAAAAGTATTGGGAAAATGTAAGAATTAATGATAAATTTAAATGCAATGTTTAGTCTTTATGTCTTATAAATAATTGTCTTGAAATAATTTGAACACATAGATTGAGTGCTATATAAGTTAATTTAAACTTTATTATTATGTAATTAGTAATTAGTAATTAATACACGAATTTGTGTATCAAAATTGTTATATGTTATAATGATAATATATAAGTTATTAAAAACCCTCAATCACTATAGAGTGGTCATTTAAATAATTAAATCTTACAATTTGTGTTGGCAGTATATATCAATATTCATATTATATTCATATTATATATAAAATAATTTTAATTGTATAAAATATAAAATTTAAGAATTCCCATAAAAGCTTGTTTCAAATATGAATCGCCGTTTTAATAGAGAAAATGCTAATTATTTCTTTCTTTTATAAATTCTATCCAAAAATTCTGTGAATATTTTAGGACTTAATTTAGATTTTGTTTTTAAATCATCGATTAGAATACGAATATCATTGTATTGTTTTTCTTCTTCTTTATGAAAGGCATCCTTTAGGTTGAGTTTGTTGTAAACCTCTTTCACTCTTCGGACACAATCGCCATCTTTTATACCATAATTAGTTTCAATGAATTCTCGCTGTTGTTGATCACACATTTGAAACGCGGTTACGATAAGCCACGAACACTTGCCCTCCTCTATATCGGTGCCTATTTTGCCAATAATAGCCGGATCTCCAAAACAGTCCAAATAGTCGTCCTGTACTTGAAATAGATGTCCAATTTTTAATAGTATCTCTTCGGCTATTTTGTGGTCTTCTTCTGAATCAAATGCTGACATATACAGCGCTATATTATAGTGGATTGAATACAATAATTAATAACAAATTGTCCAATTAATTGATCAGATGTTAGTTGTAGTAAAATGCATACCTAGTCTTACGGGCAAAACAAAAGAATAGAAAGCGGTTTTGTATTTAACAATACTATCGTATCGTAATTGCGTGAAGACATGAAACTGCGGCCGTTTATTGGGAGGATTTGAAGCCATGTCCATTGACTGTCCAATTGCTGTATATCGAGTACACTACAGGTATTTTATAAAAAGCATTAATGTTTTTTAAACATACGGTATGTATAAAAATGCTCACCTCATGCATGAGATCCACTAATTTCTGATAATAGGATTTGTCTGAGAAGAATAGCTTAAGGATGTGATAGTTTTCCTGATCCAACAATATAGCGTCATTGCATGACATAAGACCAACATGCTCCTATTGTTTACATCAATTATTGAGTTAATTCTATTAAATTTAGATTTGATAAACATGTATTTATGTTTAAATATTGTATGCCGCAATTCTTAATTTGAATTAATTGCAAGAATTTGCACAAAACTATTGTAAGCTATAAAGGATAAATGCAAAATATATATAGTGCTATGTAAAAGACAAAATAACCAGACCAGTTTGTACCAACAGGGCTGACCGCGTCGTGTGATTGACTCATCTATCAAATCGTCGACAACGAGAAAGAATGCCTGAAGAAACTCGACGGTCCAGGCGAGCACTCGGGCCAACTCTAGCTCCTGAGGTGTCGGTGTCTTTGCCTGTTGTTCAGCGAGAATACGATACGTCGAGACCACTGCCAGACCTCTGTTGCGCTTTCCGTGCGGAACGTTATATAATATGCATTCCTTTAACCACTCCATCGTTGAGATCAACTCTTTTGCCGGTTTTGCCGGTATTATAGCCGACATTATTCTGTTGAACGTCTCGTCCGATTCTTTCATCTCATTTTCATAATTCATTTTTTATCTTTTGGTTAATCGTTGTATTTAACTGTTATTTCAACCCTGATGTTACTACTGACACAGTTTTATTAAATTAAATTACTTTTAATATTAACTTTAATATTTATATTTAACTTATTTCGCCACTATTTTGTTTTCAAATGTGTTGAACGTCTGCCACATTTATTCCTAAAACATGGCATCAATAAAAATTCAGTGTTAAAATGGTAATTTAGTAAATTTGTTAATGACAAATTAATGGGAAAATATTATATTAATAATGATGTTTAGTAATAATAAAACTGTAATTATTCTAACCATTCTATACATTCATAACGATGTAATTCATTCAATGTAAGTATAATTTTATATATGTTACCTTGAATTGTTCCTGGTTATTTATAGGATATTAAAATTAAAAGCTAATATGCAATCTAAAATATTACATGATAAGATATAAGTAAAAGTAGCTATAGTTGTTATTAGGAAATATATAATCTTTTATATAAAATTTCAAATTTTTAGTTTAAATAAAAATAATCCATTTTATTATAATTATTTATTTTTAAGTGTTAATTATTTGTTTTTAAATATTAAAAATAACAGCCTTGATTTTATAAAATATAGATTATAATTTTGTTTATACCGTTTATATATTATTTTCAATTATATTATAACGGTTTAAATAATAACCCTTTTTATGGTTACCCCTGTTTTGACATAAGCAACAGATACCTGAGCTGTTATTGCCTGTCATTACCTGTTACTACCCGTCTTTACATACAAACACCTGCATCGGCTCCTATGGCCTGATTCCTAAGATTATCTCCCGATATACCTGTCATACAATTTTTATGTAATTTCTATGCATATCTAAAATACTGTACATTTTATATTCAATCACTATATGTACCGAAATATGTAAATCCCGAACCCATACACATATCCTTCAGTGTTTGCTGGACTCCACCCGACTCTGCATTCACTCACACAATACATTCATACATATAATAAATGGTGTTATCATTGGCAACATTGTGTGCTTATATGACCCTAAGGTCTGGGGTATTAGTAGCGACCGGTTCCGCATAATCGCGATCCCCTATCAGTCCAATACTGGCCGTACGGAACGCAACAATATTATAACTTAAACTGTTTTTATTCATTGGTTTTGTTTATTTCCTGTATTTTCATTTATAATAGTTGTCATTATTTCTACAATTCATTGTAAAATATTATTATTATTTTCACCAAATTGTTTGTATAATTCACTAAACCTTTTCCGCGTTAAATATAATGAAAATAAATGTAATAATATATCGATTGATGAAATATTTAAAATTTCTGTTAAAGGTCTTTAACCTCAAATACTGCTTACAATTTTTATATTTTGTTTACATTTAAATAACAATAACTTACAATTTAGTTTTAATTAAAATATTTGTGTAGCCATATTTCCTGGCTTAAATTTACATTAAATAATTATATATTATTATAAATTCTTATTTGTTAACGTCTACTGTAATTATATGGGAAATAATAAAACCCATAATTGCATTACACTGTACTGTAGTTTATAATAAATTATAAATTAATTACTTTAATACAGTATTTAAAAGAAAGGCATTTAATAAATGAAATTTAATTATCTCTAAGCAATTAAATGGCAATATATTTGCAAAATGTAATCATATTTACAGTCATTAGTCTTATAACGAGTTAAAAGTAAAAGTTTATAAAATATACGGCATTTCTGCAAACTTTACTATCATTGAGAGATTTCAAGTGATTTTTTCATTAACTCAATGTGTATTTTGTCCCCAATTTGTCAAACAAACCATAGATAACAATGAATTTTACAATTTAACAATTAGATTTGGTTTGTATTGTTTATATTGTGGTCTATTTGATTCATTATAGTATATCGATTCAATATTTTATGTTATATAGCAATTGGTATTTGATTTATTGAATATAATTGTAAATGTAATTTTAAAGACTAATACAATATTGAATCCCAGACATGATATGCATAAAAACCTTTGTATTTTGACCCACATTTTTATATTTACTTACCTGTAAATATGTTTTGGTTATAAAATCTGATGAAAGAAAGTGAGAGTGAGTCTGAGAGAGAGAGAGAGAGAGAGAGAGAGAGAGAGAG